TTTTTGTTCATTGTCGTTTCTGCTATTTGTAGCATCATATGTGCAAACTGTTTGTGTCGAAGTATTAACCATGATTTTCCTTAAATTAGACCCCTTAATGTCATTATATGTTGCTAGCTTTGATTGGTAATCTATGCGTAATATTTCTCTTAACCAAGATCTAGATAGGTTAAGGATGAAATTAATGCCTCTTGGTAGATATCTTTGATAATTTAAGTCTAGGTAGTACATGTTCAAAACTGTTACACAAAACTTTAAATAATTAAGCTTTTTTACATTTAAATATTTATTATATGGAACTTCAGTCACAATCACATTAGTGTTTGTGTTAGTTTCAAGAAATTTCCTTATATTAAATTTGAATTCACTGGGATTTACATCATTTGTTCCGCCCGATACAATAATAATGTCATGCTTAGACAGAGTCCCTATTTCATCTTTATAATTGTCCAAAACATCACGTAGTCTGGCTCCAGGTTTCCACATTGACATCACACAATATTCTTCACCAATCAAACGTTGTAGTATATTCTGAACCATTCTTCCTTGCTGATCTGCCATGATTAATACTCTTCTTCTCCGTTTTATATTAATCTCTGTATTAGATTTAGGATGGTCACAATTTTTTTGATTTTTGTCTGTTGCAGTTGTGATCTGAGATGTCTTGATGTTTAGTTGATCTGTTTTATTTACCTTCTGGGATAATACATCAACGATAGGTGCTTTTGGAGTACTTATATTACCATTAGTATTAGTAACTTTAGATTTTTTTTGTTTTTTACCTGTGTTCGGTGATCGGAAATCTGATATACCAACTTTTTTATATATGTCTATAACTTTTTTGTATTTTTCCAATTCCAGTTTCAAATTTGTGTTCTCATAATTCAAATTGTCTATTTCTTGATTAGCAGTCTGTAGTTCCTCCTTCAATTGTTCTATTTTATGTTGCAATTCGTTTGATTGTTGAGTATCGTTTAACGAGGTATTTGGTAGGCTGCATATTGTAGTATCGAATAGCGAATCTGTTGTTACAACATTACGGTTCAATGAAGATGAACGTCGTTTTCGGATTGTAATATTTTCAACAGAATCATTCATTTTGATGTTTTATGCGTTAACTTTGTTTAATAATGCTTAATAATAGTTTTAAATTAAAATTGAAAAAACTCTTAAACCACAAAAACGATTTCTTGATCTGGGATTCGAAGTCACGACATGCATGACGTCACGCCGCGCTTAGTGTAGCGCCTTATACCACTCGGCTACGATGACATTAACATTATAACCGAAACTGTGAGTTCCTTATTTATTTGTAGAATATTAAAAATTATATGCGGGTGGAAGCAAGCTCATGCTAATAATCAGTTTTAAGTTTTGCAATGATTTATTATATTCTTTTGTCGATGTTTATCTCAAGATAAATTGTAATTATACAGTTTCACTGAACCACTTCACAATTTTTTGTTTTCTACTATTGTTTTATGAAAGTTTATAGTATGGCAAGTCACTTTAATTTTTTTTACCGATAGGTTCAAAGATTCACTTCATTTATAGTTTTTATTTCAGAGTTCATGTTTAAATTTTTAAGATAACACTATCACTTATTTAATTGTCAAATGTTTTAGCACTGTACTTAATTTAGTTTACTTTTATGCACTATTTGTAATTTTTTATAACATTTAGTACGGAGCGCGCTTTTTTACGTGCGTCTAGAGGCAGCGCCATCTAGCGGACCGGCATAACATAACATCACGCCTTTTATCCTCGAAGGGGTAGGCAGCGATGCACATTATACCACTGTGAGTACAATGTAACACCCACTTTTCACTATTTATGTTATGAGTCCCATGTAATAGGAGGTGAGCCTATTGTCATAAGTCAAAGTTATTCCTCAGTTAAAATCTATCGGAAAAATCGGCCCTAAGTGACTAGAAATTCTGTGGTAACAAAAACTCAAGCTTGAATTAGAATACTAAGTCTCTAAGCAATTTATGATAGCGAAAAACTTTTCCCATTAAACCACAACATTTTTCCGACAGTTAAACTTCAAAACCCATGAATCATATTGAAACTAAACAGACGCTGTACTTGCAGTTATTGCTTTTTTACGTTCAAAGGTCAAATCTCTTAGAAAGCAATAAGAAATGTAACTGCCATCGCGATATGACAAGAGGCCACAAAACTGGTGACAATAAAACCTCTTTACGATGTTCTCCATCATGTATAAATGTTGAAACTGTTGTCTCGAAGCTTACAAATACTTGACATTAAACTGTGCTAAATGTATTAACACTTTGATACTTATTGCTTCTTGGAACTCTTTGAGACGGTGAAGTGGAGGTAATGTGGCGTGGCTTTAATAAAGTTGTTGTATGTATGTGTGTACCTATAATGACCTATATATGTAGGAACTTAATAACTGTAGAATATAAATACATAATTTTTTTTAAACTTTGCCCTACACTAGTATTTTTTCTTGTATCGTTGATTCGTTTACAAACATACAAGTTCACATACACATGACACCCAGACCCGGAACAACAATCTGTGGATCATACAAAAAGTTGTTCCAACCATGCAGTCATATTCACTTTTTACTAATCAGGTCGTTAAGTGGTTGAAATAGGGGTTCTGGGGCCAATTCTTAAGATCATTACACACTTAGCAAGCACGGCTACGGCTCCGGTACGGATCAAGCACGGCTTCGTCACGACGTTTTTTGCTTTGAACACAATACAATAAGCGCGCTGTCCGCAAGCCAACGGCGCGCTTACAGCATTTTTATATTGACGTTATGAAAAATGTCGTACGACATTCGATTTAAAGTTCTTATTTTAATAACAATGACATTGCTGCCGCGCTGGAGCTGTGCTTGTTAGAGTGCGATGTCATTCAGGTTCTCCGTTAAATACCTATTCTTGAATTTTTTTAATCAGTTTGTATGATATGTAGCTTAGAACAAAATAATTATCCTCGTGTGTTTAACATGATTTTAAAAACATCGGAGTCTTATGTAATTTTTATATGGGACATCTACGCCAAATGAAGCGAAGCGAAGCTATGAAGCATCACCGATTTATGGTAGATGTCCCACCCACACGCACGAAGCGCTTCGCAACAAGATGCCTTGTGCGTACTGCTAAGGAGTGGAATTCATTGCCAGAGCCTATATTTCCTTAAGGGTAACCTGGGTGTCTGCAAGACCCGAGTGAATAGGTTGCTAATGGGACGACGTGCTCCATCGTAGACCGCATCATCGCTTATCGCAATCAAAAAAAAAAAAAGTTAATTTATAACAATTTAATATTTCGTTGTGTTAATTTATTATATTGATTTGTACTATACCCTAAATCTCGCAAATGCTTGCAAATCTACTTTACTGCTTACAAAGTTCCTTATGAGATTTTATAGATGCTATGAAAGGGTTTAGAAGCAAAATAAAATCGCAGTAAATTAATTTTGTTTACTTGAATTTTTATTATTATACACATTCTTTTATCGTTTGTGTTTGTATGTGTACTAGCAATAGTTACTGATATGATATAAGTAAATTATATTTTTTAAATATAAATAATAATTTTAAAAACCATGAATGGTTTTTGACTTTACAAGGTTGGATTGCACGGTTGGCGTGGTGGCTAGGCAACCGACTGCCGCACAATTTGTAGCGGGATCGATTTCTGCATGGAGCAACTCTTCGTGTGATCCCCATTTTTTGTTCCTGGTCTAGGTGTCATGTGTAGGTATGTGAAATGTACTTTGTACATACAAACATTACATAAATACATACTATAACTTCACGCCTGTCTCCCATGGGGGTAGACAGAGACTAAGGAACGCCAATTACTACGATTCTTACATATCACTTTCGCTTCATTAACAGTCATCAATCTTTTCATGCATGCTCGTCGGTTAAGGGTACTTTTAATTTGGCCCTTCTTTAATATATCGCCAATCTGGTCAGACATTACACACTCAAGATAAATAAATAGGCCTTTATTCAGAACACGCAAATACATGGTAACTAAGAACTAACAATTGTTCTCTAATTTGTTGCTTGCTTATATTTTTACAGATCTCTCACACACTCAAGAGAAAATCCCAGTGTGGGGTAACGTTCTTTATAAAATAAAAAAAAACAACTTGTACAAAATTATTTTACATACCCCTTTTTAAATCACCCTTCCACTAACTTTTTAACCAAATCCAAAAATGTCACGTTAATAATATCACTTTGTTGTTTTGTTCGCGTGTCTGTCCGTCAGCGGGCGACGTGTTTGTGTAGGGGAACACGGAATAGTCATTTCACTAATAACACAGTAACATACTGAGGTAACATGATTATGTTGTGATGTAATTATTTTTGGTTACGTGGACGTTTTACTTGGAATATGTTAAAAAGAGTTCGTATATTATCTTGCTTGTTAATCTCTTAGGGGTAAATTTATATTACCGTACACCACGGCAGCGTAGCCAGTCACGCCACCGTTATGTCCGTACGCTACTTAACATATCAGTGTCCACACGGCACACTTCGACAGTATCAAAATAGACCTCTAATGCTGGCGTCCAAGCTGGTTGCGCAACCAAGTGACCAGTGTCCCGGTGAATTATATCCCTTAAAGTATAGTTAACTGCTTTACATCAGTATGTAGATTACAAAAGCGGTTTCCCCTTAATGGAAAATAAGTAAGTCGTTTTTACTAATAACTCTATTATGATATCTAAAAGTCATGACGCCCTCGTTAACTAATTTAATGTTAAGCTTACTTATTTTTCTAATCAAAGAAGAAAATAAGTATGATATTTGATACAAAAAATATTATACTCTATCTCCAGTCCTAAAGTATTAAATTATTTCTGAACAAACAAAAACATATAAACGTATTTTCACAAAACTTCACAGGCAAAAAGTAAAATGTAAATAAAATTATTCTTAGTTTTTGTCGCTGCTGATTTTGATTTAATTTTAAATTAAGAAAGGACAATGAATCACTTACCAAAAACAATAACGAATGTCATTTTGACAGTTTTGATCTTAGCCTTCGGTATGATACCGCGGCTGCTGGCCCGTCGGCTGTCCAAGTCGTCACTATCTGTAATACAAATACTCCATTAATATTATGTTTTTATTTAACAAGAATCATAACTGTTTAAACAAATTCGTGAGTGATAATTCAAATTAACATTCTACTGGAGGCTTCTCAGTTACAACAAAATTAAGTGAATTTTGGCGAGGCACTCGACTAGTTTCAAGCTATGCTTGAGGCTCATAATCATGAGCAACATTCCGCGACCTGCGTGTCGGTAGCAGCGCGACATCTGCCGCGTCGCGCGTCTAGGAATGCTGTTCATGAATATGAGCGACAAGTTTTAACTTCATTGAAACATTTCTGGCATATAATGCGGATCGTAAGGAAAACCTTTAATAGCTTTGAGTGTAGTTAACCTACACCAAAACGAGGTGTGGATATCTTGGTCACTGGGTACCGATAATCCTAAAATCTAAGAACTCACCTACCTCTCCGAACCCCGAAAGAGCTTAACCACACCAATCGCCTTTTCAAACACTAGACCAACAACGGTTTACCAGAATTTTATATTCAAGGCTGATATTGTTCTCATTTCAAGATAATCCTTCGCAACAAAGTTTATCGTTCACCCTAACCTTCGTTTACTATTCAATAAGAAACGGATAACTTTTTATTTGTCGACATAAATCCGGGAGTGGTTTGCAGTCTATACTTTATAGACCTCAAACATCACCAGTTTGGGCACGTTCTTAGTTTCTGCTCTTGATTTAAGATCTTATATTGTTTATCTTTATCGATTTGTTTTATTTTTTCTTTGAATATTTTGTTTACATTGAATTTTGGAGTTTTAGGGGTCAAACAAAGTTTCTTTATTTTTAGTTATAGAAGAAAACACCAAAAGTTCCTGAGTCTTTCTTGGGGTCCCATTTTCCCATTATCTTCTGTTGTATAGGATCAGCCAAATAATTGGCGTAAAGCTGCCATGGTATAATATCCTCCCTTGTCTATTTAGTTTGTCCAAACTAGAACGAGAATGGCGTGGATTTGTTAGCTTTTTGAATTGTACTTGCGGAGTAAAAGGTAGGATTATGTCAAGACGCATAGCCTGTCGAGAGAGAGCTTAACTTTGGTGATGATAAAAATAGAAAAGTAGCTGAAGGACATATAAAAGTAAAAGAATTTGTTCTTTTGATTAAGTGAGTCTAGAGCTTAGATATATATAAACTCTAGTCTAGGTCAGTCTACTATCACGTTAAACCTTTAAATAGGTTCCTAAATACGTATTTGCTTTGTAACAATAGTACACTACATCAAAATACCATTAACAGTAGAATTTATCACCGTACTAAACCTCCAATACATTTATACACCATTAATAGGCCTAATCTAATTCAGACTACGTTTAGGCCACATAAACAACTATTTACGAGTACATAAGGTACATAATTGCTAATCACATGCGACTAGTTTTCCCAAACTACGAATTTGGGATGGTCAAAAAGTCTAATTACTTATTAATAGGATTAGTTAGTTAGGTGTGATTAGATTGGAACGGAGCGTCCCGGTCTAGTTAACAGGTGTGACTTCTGTTGGAAAAGTTTTGACCTTGAATTTTATTTCTAAGTCTCTACCAACCAGATTTCTTAGGAGCAATTTTTTCAACGCCTGATAATTATATCGGAGAAATGATTTTGACATTTCCAACAATTCTTCCATACAAAATAATTTCAGACGTCTATTTTAATTTACGAATAAAAATTATCTGTCTGCTTCGTTGTCCGAGTGTACGCAAGTGCGACTGTTGGTCAAGGGGTATCAGGTTCGATTCCCTTGTCGGGCAAAGTACTACAGGGTTTAAAAAAAAAAATTCAGTATTAACACGGAATCTGGAGTTGTGCCCGGTATATGGCAATAAGCTCACCTCCTATTACATGGGACTCATAACATAAATAGTGAAACGTGGGTGTTACATTGTACAGTGGCATAAGGTGCCGTAATACCGTAACTACCTCTTCGGGGTTAAAAGGCGCGATGTTATGTAAAAAATATCTGTTGATGGAAAAATCGGCTCATATTTGAGCTGTTTCTTTGGTCCAATTATTACCATCTTCGGTTTATCGTTACGTTACTTACTAAACGTTAAAAAATAAATATATTTTATTTGAACGTTACAAAAGCATAATAATATGCGAAGTACCTAAAAGAAAGCACCAGTTTATATTTATACTTTCATTTATGTCCAAAAACTTGATAATTGATTTCTTTATGGAATAGGAGGCAAACGAGCAGACGGATCACCTGGTGGTAAGTGACCAGCGCCGCCCATGGACACCCGCAACCCTAGAGGAGTCACAGGTGCGTTGCCGGCCTTTTAAAAAGGAATACGCTCTTTTCTTTGATTGAACATAGAAAAAAAGGTCTTATTCATGATGATAGTACATCAGCAAGAGAAAACGTCTTACCAATAACTTTATATAAGGCACATACTATAATGAAACTTACATTGTCTAGTCGCCGTAGCCCTCCTGCCTAGTACCCGATTACTCTTCTGTCGTATCGTGACCACGATCACTCCGTAACAAGCCGATATTGTCAGTGCTGGGGCCACAAACAAGGACACAAATACACTGGTCATCCATATCCTCCACTGCAGTTTACTGATGCCTGACCAGCATTGGTAGATCCCTGGAAAATATTTGGCTATTAGTACTTGTATGACTTAGAAATTTTCTTTTTGATGATCTCAATTAATGATTCGGCTAACTCTACTCACACATATAATTAAAGTAGAAAGAGACAAAGATTTGAGATTGCCCCAAACACAATTACCTATTAATATTATTTTATTGGAGTGTCGCTGTTGAGATGGGTATATGACAAATATTAGTTTAAAATTGTTTTAATAGTGTATATAATAACTATCGTGAGATATACCAAATTAACTTAAAAAACGCAGGTTACTCACGTGAATATGATATGAAAAGCTCTACTAGTTTCGAACCACAGAGGGGCTCTTCCTCATGAGCAGCGTGCGCGGTCGCGGCGATCAGTATATTCACGTAACTCGCGATTTTTAGTTAATTTATTTCAATAGTCGTCTACATAAATCTAAAATTACACTAGCACAAAATCAAATAACCCTTTTATCTCCTTTTTTTACTACAAACACTTGCTTGTCTAAAAATCCGCTCAGCAATTTTATAAGAACACCACTTTCTAACTAAAAACTTGCATGTTTTCGTAAACATTCTCATACGAGATTTCCATCAACACTTTTGCTTGAACCTTCATAAAATAGAACCGATTAAGTTCTAAGACCTAACAGCATTATTAAAAGCCAGACAAGAGTATTGTCTGCACATAGTGTGTGGGTGTTCCCAATATCTTCAAATTTTAAAGAGTGTAGTGTGTGCAGACGAATTTGTCCGTAAATAGCTTTAGATGTGAGTCAATTTGGTTTGACGCTTCCAGTAATCATATTTTTTGAAATATGGTTCTATAAGAACGTTTTAGAGACGCAATTACGAAAATTATCTGATCGTCTATGAGTCTGTGAGAATATGTATATGTTGAAGATACATAAACTTGATATTTTGCATTGTATCGAGTAGAAGGTTCTGACATGTCCTTATAAGGAACTATTCAGAATAACTCTTTATGTATGAGCATATCTCTTCCTTGATTAATTATGTATAATTTCTTTATGTTTTGCTATAAGTATAGTAATGATCTCCTTGAATTCTCTTACCTTCAACATTGGCTTCATCAAATAGAAATAGCATCGGTACACAAAACAGAAAGCTGACGAACCATGCACCAAGAATAAGCGCGCGCGCACGACGCCCTGTGTAAGAAAAATAAAATTATTATTATATTTTCTATGAGGAAATCTACAGCTCGGTTTAATTTGCCGGAGTCGCGGGTTGATTTCCAAATAGGTACCCAAATATTGGGCTCGGATCCGAGCAGGGAGGAACAGTGTGAATTTTAATAAGAGTCTGACACTCTCTCCCGTCTCACCCAGGGCGGGAGTATCGGTGGATTTTTCCCCCAAGTGTGAAGTGTCCCACAATAAGTTTATGAATGAAATCAATATTATGTAATGACCACGGTATTAGACCAAAATATTATTCGCTTAAGATGGCTAAATAACGCAGTAAACCTAATCATAAACTGTCAAACAAATACTATTAGCGAACAATAAGACAGAACAACATAAAGAAGCAGTAAGCACGTCTGAACAAAGTCTAGAATTGTCCTCAAAGGTCTTCATAAAAATAATTTAGTACTAGAAACATAATTATGTAGGGCGAAGACAAACAGTGATAGTAAGAATGTTCAAAGCGAAACAAATTCTTTGTTAGTGGGAAACTTCGCGAAATATACAACGGGACTTGTCTGGACTTTGTCACAATTGTACCTTAAGTTACACTTAGTATAACTTATGATGCTCTGAAATGTTCTCGGGATAAGTTTTTTGATCTGCTGTAGGATTTTTTTAAAATAATCATGGTGGACCTTGATCTTTTTTGAGATGCCTATTTATAATTGGGATGATGATAGGGTATGAAAATTAAAAATATAATATTCCGTAAGTTAGGTAATGAAAAATTATTATACACGTATTTTTTTGTCATATAATAAAACAATACTTAGATAAAACGAATCAAAGTTTAGGAGTGGGGGCTAAAACGTCATTTCTGCGTGTAAAATGTACATAGAAGTGACGTCATGCGACATTTCAAATTAATATAATCGTCGAAGTATTCGATTTTGTAAGAAAATAAAACATACGTGTCTAATGATTTAAAATAATCTACCAGACGGACATAAATAAAAATTAGGCATCTGGGATTATCGGATAAACTTATGTATAAAGTACGTCGTATATTAAAATCTGTCTGGTACATAGCAGCATTGCAACCCAGACATTGTAAGATAGGCATTTAACCTAACCATTTTATTGGTGAGTTTAAATCTCGTATCACTATTAATAAATCAATAGTCTAGGTCGTGGTGGACCGAAGTTAAGATGTCCGCTTCTCATGCCTGAGAATTCGGTTTTTTTTAAGGGGGGAAAATCATCGACTGACTGCTCCCGCCTGGGTGAAGCGGGAGGAAGTGTCAGACTCTTACTGACTAAAACCCACCCCGTTCCTTCTCCTGCACGTCGAGCCGGAGCCCCGGTAGGCCGTTAGGTTCTCCGCGACGAGAATTCGGGTTAGAAACCTACCAACGGCAAGTACCAATGTGACTTTTTCCGAGTTATATGTATGTACTTTCTAAGATTATTTAGAAACCACTGACAAACAGTGAAGGAAAACGTCGTGAGAAAACCTGGACTTATAAGTTTGAAATCGCGGCATGAGCAACCGTGGTGATTAATACTCAAACATTCTCCGTGTGAGGAGAGGCTTTGCTCAGCAGTGGGCACTTATAGGTTGGTGTGAGTATTTATGTTGATGTAAATCAATAGTTTAGATAACTATAGCTATAGAAAGGTAAGCTTACCTTTCGTTATTATTCATCAAAGGCAAAGAAATAAATACAATAAGCCTTTCAAGTCATGTTAAACTAGATCTATTATAATAACAATGAGTCTATTGTCAGAAACCGGCCATAATATTCTACATTCTAGTATTTTAATGAGAATTTCTAAGAAAAGCGATATGATCTCTTTTCTTATCCCCTGTTTATTGGTAGAAACTTAATATTTAGCCCTGGCTTAGACATAGACTTGTTTTTATATAATGAACATTAATAGTAGGCATATAAAAATGTTTTTAAATAATAAATTTAAATAAGACTGCCTCGTTGGCCGAATGGTGGAGTGCGACTCGGTAAGGGGTCTCGGGTTCGATTCCCGGGACGGGCAAAGTATTACTGGGTTTTTAAAAAAAATCTCAATAGTAGCATGGAGTCTAGATTTGTACCCGATATATGGCAATAGGCTCACCCCCAATTCCATGGGACTCATAACATAACTAGTAAAAAGTGGGTGTTACATTGTACAGTGGCATAATGTGCACCTCTGCTTACCCCTTCGGGGATAAAGGGCGTGATGCTATGTTAGGTTATTTAAATAAGAGTATAATAGAATACTTACAGCTTCCCGTAAAGTTCATAGGATGGGTGATGGCATCACATCGGTCCACACTCAGTGCCACTAAAACGTATGTAGAGGAATATGTGACGACACCCTAAAAATAAAATAACAGTTAAAATTGATCCTTCTGATTAAACGTGACACAAAAATACACAGCTAAGAAGGTTAAATAAAGAGATAAGAAATATTTTATGATGACGCAAAAAAAACATTTTGTTCATTAAAAAATTAATAATGAGGTACGTGTGGTGCATCGAGCCCACATATTATACAGTAGCCAGACACCGAACAGTGTACTTTTGACTTCGTAGTCTTTGTTTTATTCTAACAGACATTATAGACGAAACTTAAACAGAGCGAAGTAGAAAAATAGAAAGAGGTAGATTTTTTAAAGGTAGGGGCATTGAGTATTGACAAAAAAACATAGCTATAAGCGTACTTAAGTAATAAGCTTACTTGTAAATACTTCATCATTTTACACGTAATGGAGCCAGCAAGCCACGTGATTGTTATCCTTTGTATTAAATCCGGCAGAACACTGATTAAGCCCACTAATAAATCTGAAAAATGATACTTTGTTATTTACCTTCAAAAACAATATTCGTAAGCCAATAATTGGAATCTTGTTTTGGTAATAAAAACCTATTTAACTAAAATTGCGGGTTACTCACGTGAATATACTGAGAAAAGCTCTACTAGTTTCGAACCACAGAGGGGTTCTTCCTCATGAGCAGCGTGCGCGGTCGTGGCGACGTCCCGCAGCTCAGTGAGCTTGTAGAGCTTTTCTCGGTATATTCACGTGAGTAACCCGTGAGTTTAGTTAATTTAGTATGTCTCACGATAGTTATTATAAAAACAAACAACCTATTTGTTGAAGTTACTATACCTACCGTCAAATCTATTTCGTTTATCTACCGCAGCAAAACAACTTCCCATAAGCAGTACTTTCGAAGTATAAAGTAAAAACAAAAGAATAAAGATACATATATATATTTTTCTCCTTATAAAAAAAGTCATAGAAATTCGTATATGAAACACTAGATGGAAATTTGTACGCACTATTCACATCGCACGTGTCACCCGGCAAGAAATACTTCTTCGGGAATTACATGGTATGATGTTTTAATAATGTACTATGGGTATGCGCTTTCGAAGTTTGCTTTTTGCAATGGTTCACCTATCATTTTTTGTTTTAAACATTTTATTTCTTTGTAAAATTATTGTATTACCAAGAACTAGCCATTTTACTTCGGGTCGAAAACGAAATAGATTTCACGGTGTACCTATATTGTAAAATTGTATGTAAGTTAAAAGTTTTATAAACAAAATTAAATAACGATTTGTGAGATAGAACTTAGATTAAGAGTAAGGATCTCTTTTGTGTAAGTGATGGGTGCGTTTATTTAGAAAGCAAAGGAAAAACTTTTACTTGAAATCAGATGAATGTTTTTTCAAGGGTTACCTCTCGCGCGCTTCTCGTACACACGGGTAAACGCGCGTTCTCGTACACACGGGTAAATATTTTAAAAGAAAAGCGAATTAATTGTTCTGTTCAATCAAATAAAGAACGGGTTGCAAACTTGAAAATACACTTCACAGAAAAAATATCCAATCGGTGCGCGTTTCTCGTACACCCGTGTGTACAATTGCGCGATGGGCACTCAACCCGTGTGTACGAGAAACACGCGAGAGGTTAATGAACATTTTTTGATGTTTCATATAACATTCTTAGTATCTGGCTTCTTTGGTATGATCCATACGGTAGCCGGCGAGGTCAATTTTATTTAGATTTAAAATTATGCAGTTGATATACTATCATTTCGTTAAGGTTTTCTTGCATTTAAGTAAATTGTTTTGTAGGTATTTCAACTTACCGGCGATTGCCAATTGCATAATGAAGAAGTTCATGCGACTCTTCCTGGATTTGGTGAGCAGCAACGCGAGGACTACGGTCGCGTTGCCAGCCACTATGGTCACGAGCAGCATCCATAGGATCGCCAATTGTGCTGACTATATAAATGTAAACAAACATTTTTGGTTATATTCTTATTCAGATACTTAGTAAGTATATTAATGACATTCAGTATTCTTTCATGTGTGAGAGAGCCATGCTTCGGCACGAATGGGCCGGCTCGACTGGAGTGATAACTACTACGGCCTCACAGAAAACCGACGTGAAGCAACGCTTGCGTTGGGTTTCGTCGTGTGAGTGAGGTTACCAGAGGCCCAATTACCCTCCCGTTCCCCAATCTCCCTAATTCCTGAATCCCCAATGATCCTCAAACTCCTAATCCCCAAAAGGCCGGTAACGCACTTGTAACGTCTCTGGTTTTCTAGGTGTCCATGGGCGACGCCGATTGCTTACCATCAGGTGATCCGTCTTCTCGTTTACCGGCTTATGCCATAAAAAAAACTTGAGTTAGATATACCTAAGAGGCTCCAAAAAGAAATTATAAATGACTAAGGGCCAATTTTCCAATGATCAGTTGATTCTTAACTGTAAAATAAAATTACATTTGACATTTTTTAGTATGGAAGAATTGTCAAATATTCAAAGTTATTCCCTAGTTAAAATTTATCTGGCGTTGGAAAAATTTACTGATTGAAAAATCGGCCCTAAGTAATTTGGTATTTAATTGTTATTTTTTATTATTTATCTGTCTAAACGCGTTTCAAATCTACTTGAAATCTATAGACGGCAAAGACTCAAAAATAAAGATAGGTGTATCAAAAAATAATTTGTAAAAAATGGAAGAAGAAACATTTACTAAATTATTAATTAAAAAATCCTCTCCACAAAACGAGTGATATCTTAGCTTTTAAATTAAGTCTGACTTAAACAAATTAGAAAACAAGGAGAGAGTCTAGACCCATATTTAAGTTGCAGGAGCCCTTCGTACTATTAATTCTGCACTTGACTTTAATGAAATGAACTGATTAGTTTCTTAGTGTTAGGTACTTCAAATTGACCACGATATTTTTTTTATAAAACGTTGCCCCACACTAGGGTTATCTCCTGTGTCGTGTGTGCGTTTACAAACATACAAGGTCACATACACACGACACCCAGACCCGAGACAACAATTTGTGGATCACATAAAGTGTTGTTCCGTGCGGGAATCGAACCCGCGACACGTTGCACGGCAGCCGGTTGCCCAGCCACCGCACCAACTGTGCAGTCACGATGAAACTAGTCTGCTAGTAAAAGGCTAGAAAATCATCCCCGTTCTTTTAGTCTGTTGAAATTTTAGTGCTACGACAGATTTTTCTATGGTAGTAATATTAAGTAACATAACAGGCGTGCTTTTTATTCCCAAAGGCGTAGGCAAAGGTTACATTACGGCACTTAATGCCACTGTACAATGTAACACACACTTTTCACTATTTATATTATGAGTCTCATGTAATATGCCTATTGCCGTGAGCCTATTGCCATGTACTGGACGCAATTCCAGACTCCTTGCTACTACTAATTTTTTTTTTAAACTTAATAATGCTTTAGTCGACTCGGTAATTGGATCCGAGCTCCCTTGTCCTGTTTACCAGTAAAGTATTTAGTTGCAATATTTTTTACATGTTTTACAAGTAGTAAGTCCAATATTTTAGTCGATCAACAAAGCAACTAATAATATAGGACCTTATTTAAAATAATATTTCACATAACATAACATCACGCCTTTTTATCCCCGAAGGGGTAGGCAGAGGTGCACATTATACCACTGTACAATGTAACACCCACTTTTCACTATTTATGTTATGAGTAACATGTAATAGGGGGTGAGCCTATTGCCATATACCGGGCACAATTCCAGACTCCGTGCTACTACTGAGAATATTTAAAAACCCAGTAATACTTTGCCCGATCCGGGAATCGAACCCGATACCCCTTGTCCGGCAGTCGCACTTACGACCACTCGGCCAACGAGCAATAATATTTCAATTCATGTCAAATAACAATAACTAAAGCAATTGTAACTAAATAAACATTAGTTATTAGGGATAATAAACTATACAGCTTTCTCCCCAATCCCCCAACTACAGCAAATCACGAACATTATTATTATTATTTTATTGCACTAACACTTTGACAGACCATTAAGTTTAATGACACGAAGGTTTAATGAGAAAATTTATTAAGAAAACGTATTGAAGTGACAGAAGTAATAAAGGACTGAGATTTTCTGCTCTCTCGAAAGAAAAAGAATTATTGACAAGTTCAAGAACAAATTAAAGTTGATAGATTTTTCGTCTCCAAAAGATAAGTAGATGACGTTATTGTAATTAATGATCATAGCTGAGTTATATTTTTGTCACCATCCCTGGTCTTCCCATGGGTTTCGTAAGAGCCTTTATAAAAATATCACATTCACGTTCATTGGCCAGAGTTCGGACTATGGCTCTCTGATAAATCGTGAACCTTTTTAACTGCGATCTCTAACCGGCCTGACAAGCACAGTGTATAACAATACCTTTTTTTGTAGAAGAGGACTTCTTTGTAGTAGTAATATATATTAGTTTAGCAGTTGACTATTATGGGTTAAAACCGATATTTTTTAAAGGATAAAACGGTAAACGATCTTACGAATCATCTGGTGAGGAATAAGCGTCGCCCATGGACACCCGGAACACTAGAGGCGTTACAAGTGCGTTACCGGTTTTTTGGGGATTAGAAAATTGAAAATTGTTGGAGTTTTAGAGATCGGGGATATTGTGGAGGGGGGGGGAGAGGGGTAATTGGGCTTCCGGTAACCTCACACACACGAGAATGAATGATCGAAAGCACAATGAATGCGTTTCACGTCGGTTGTAAGGCCGTGGGGTATCACTGCAGTCAAGCCGGTTAAAGAAAGAAGTTTGGTCCCCTTACCTGGTAGAAATAGAACTTATTGATGGTAGTCTCATTCTTGGTGATGTTCTTATAGAAAGTGTCGTTGAACTCTGCATAGAGCGTGCAGTTCAGACAATGTTCCTCCTCCATTTCTCCAACGACTAGTGTATTCACATCTTGGTAATGCAGTACCTGGGGATAAGGAAAATAGACTCTTTTCAATCAAATCAAAATACTCACATTGTTATTATAAGCTCACAATTACTGTTAGGTGAGAATTAAGAAACATTTTATTGGTGGAAAATCTTATGTGGGTTAGTTTAGTTTAGTTTTTATGTACCTAGTTGAATTTGTCGTAACAATTATATAGTATAAATTGTTCTTCAAATGTAATAGTTAATTATAATTATTATAATAAGAACATTTCTCGCTTAATCTGCTCTAGAGAAATTAATTAACACAACTAACATAATACATGTAAAATTAATCCTAGACCTGACTGAAACACTCACGTACTATTAGAGCAATATTTATTCGAGATCTTCACAGTTTAATCTTTACTTTATCCCAAAATTAATCTTGTATCACTAATGAAATCTTTGATACAATGTAATGGAGAGAATTAAGTCCCAAAGCGCCCTCTAGCCGTTACGATAAGTGTTCAATTTTAGCTTACTTAGAAACAGTTTAAGGTATTTAGGATTTTGTATGTTTAATTTTGCTGATATGCTTATGAAGGTTATGTAAAATCGAACTTAGTTTCTAGTATTATAGAGTGCAATATTATGTTATGGGGGTCTGAGTTGCTGGCCATGCTAGCGCGACACGACTTGCGTCTACGACGAGCGGGATAAACAGAAATGCAGGTTAAACGATCGGCATTCTATTCGCAAGATTAAAACCTGGAGAAAACCGCTAGTCCATTTTGAGCAAGTGTGGTTATTAACGCTAATTCCTTGTCCATGACACCTTTACCTGACGATGATATGATGATTTTGGTGATACTATAATTCAAGCAATCATGGTGATTGTATTAATCATTTAAGAATATACATCCATATGTTCCTAAAATTCTTCACAATTATATCCATAAAATGTGAACTACAAAATATTTTAAAGAATCCTAACTTAGTTTCAACACATGAAAAATACTAGGTTCCTCCTCTCAGACAATGAATGGTTGATATAACAATAGTAATTTAGTTAATAGTAAGGTCGTCTCATTGTTGGCACTTTAATAGGCTATGTAAGGGGACGATTCAGTGGAAATTTCAATTGTAATGTGTGTTTTATTAAGGTTTTGTATCATTTGAGCAATTTTATTTAGTCAAGGACTTATTAGGTACTTATTTAACTTACGTTTATTATATTGCAGAGTATTACAAAATTTCATGTCTCTCTATTAATCAAATAGAGAGATTCGTGCCTCTTTTTGCCTTATCAACTTCGACTTATTAACATTGTCTTAAGTTTTAAAATTAAATTGCAAAAGATTATTGCATCAACATTTATAATATAGAAACCTGTTTCGTTTTAAATAGATATTAATTTCAAATGAAAACCCCTGGAGATATATTTCTGTTTCCACCTATTAAATCCTCCATTTATATGTAAAATGTTACTTTGAAATATATCGTCAATAGGCCAGGTGTGACCCTTAAAAGGTCACATCTGGGACACCTTAATAGTCCCCATTGAAAAAGGTCTCATTTACATTTTATTAATTTCAAAATTATAATTTAGTAGACATTGTTACAATGTTAATCCTAAAATAAATGAAGAAAGTTTTCAACCATGAAAATGACAAGATAATGAAGTTGTTTAATACGTAATTCCAGATACTTTAATATTTTATTATCCTGTATTTATATTATGTGTAGGTAGTGGCAGCATTCACGACTTACATTTGAATAGACCACCAGGTTACTTGCGCAAACCCAAACTTTAACTCATATCAAACGATAAAAAAATACTTCACTTACTATTTCCACAAACACAAGAAATTATTGAATCAGTAACAACAGTTGAGCAGCTAAATCAAAAAAGTTACACACGACCCTACACACAATACATCAAAAATTTCCATCTTCTATCAACGAATAAACAAATATCTTCGCAATATTTCCTTGGAGTTGACGAAGGAATCAAGGGCAAAGAATCACTGGGAATCGTTCACACATAACGGCCATTCGTCACTGACTCCAGAAAAGAATACTAATGGCGCCGCAAAATAAAGACAACAAGACGAACGCATAAATTTGTACTCGGATGATTTTATTTGAGTCCTACATTTCGTAATTTGTTTTGGGGACGCTAGGGAATTCGTCGAGCGTACTAAACCCATGTTAATGAGTGCTTGAGTTTCTTTAAGGAAAATTAAATATGAAATTGAGAAAAGTTATCAAATGAAAATAATTTGGATGGAAATGTTTCCATCATAGAAGTTATAAATCATCACAAATTTTCTTTCGTTTAAAATCAATTACAAAAGTACTCACAACTATCTTAACTCACTCTATCTAGACAAGGCGTAAGCGTTCGAGACTATCATTATTACCTTCAACAATTTCCAACTCCCTCGCCGGACCTAAATAAACTTCATCGTCTTCTTACTTAATATGTCCTCGTAAAGCTCAAAGCAGTTCTCCTACACCAACAAAGATAAACTACTCAACTTTCCCCGACACTATGACTCCAGGATAACCTATAAAATGGCCCTTTAATCAAAACACAGGTGTTTTCACCCAACCTCTTCAGGTTCTTGCTAAGAAATTGTGACCCTATCCATAATGGTTAAGGTGTGTTTTTGCATGCGGTACAAAAGAAGTGTAATGCAATCAATCAATTGGACAGCGATTCAATTGGTATTTGAGAAAGTGATCTAATTTATCAAAATTTATCCGTGAGGCTTTAAATTAATGCGCTTCGTGGCTACCCAGGTGTGGTTTAGTACGGTGATGTATTACAACCACGATATCGGCTGCAGATTACTGATTTGCAAATTACACTTCAATTGTTTTAGCAAGTTTGCTTCCAAACTTTCTACTTAGGAAGATTTAGTTGAACTTAGGTGATTGGGTCGAGTTTTGTTTGGTGTGATTCTTTTATATAATTTTCATGTCATATGTATTTTGAGACTGCCTCGTTGGCCGAGTGGTCGCAAGTGCGACTGCCGGGCAAGGGGTCTCGGGTTCGATTCCCGGGTCGGGCAAAGTCTGGAATTGTGCCCGGTATATGGCAATAGGCTCACCCCCTATTACATGGGACTCATAACATAGATAGTGAAACGTGGGTGTTACATTGTACAGTGGCATAATGTGCATCTTTGCCTACCCCTTCGGGGATAAAAGGCGTGATGTTATGGTATGTTATGTTATGTATTTTGAGATATAATTGAGGCTTGGTTATAAAGTTTGATTACAACTCAAGAAGTTCGTATATACTATTAATTCTAATTGAATTTGCAGTAAAAGCAAACTAACAAAGACTTTTATATCGACAATGCTACGAAACTACGTCACCTACTTAAATAAACAGAAGGGCAAAACAAATGTTGGTGTTTGGTAAAAGGAAAAAGTCCCGTAGTTGGGGCCCAGTAGAGAACCTTGGGGGACCCCTTAAATCCTACTAATTTCCTCTTAATTTCCTCCGTGTGTTTCTTTGTAAGGATAGCGTAAATAATGATGAAGATAAACTCGATTTATTAAACAAGTGGTCGGATTGCATTGTTCTATTAATGAAATAATGTCGTATTGTTTTGCTAAATAATAACAGTTGTGTTTATAAGATTTTAACTTAAAACCTTTAATAATTAGAACCTTCTTGACAAGACCGGTAAGTATTCGTGAGCAAGTATATGAGGTATAAATACAATTCAACTTATCAATATATTTTTTGTGAATTTTGTGTTCATTGAAACTATAACATAACATAAAACCACACCGGTAGGTAGGAGATAGTACCCATGTAATAGAGAGTGAGCCTTTTGTCACATAGGTACCTGGCACAATTCTGGACTCCGTGCTACTACCGGGAAGTTTTTCAAAAAAACCAGTAGTTCTTTGCTCGACCCGAAAATCGAATCCGAGACCCCCTGACTGGCAACCGTACTTGCGACTATTCTGCCAATGAGGGAGTCTTAAATCGAAACCATTTTATTCAAATCAGCATTATCCATAATTTATTCAATCAATGACCATCACACCTCAATACCTTCATTTATGTGATAGAATTACCTATTTTCGAGTTCCAAATATATAGGTAATATGTCTGATTTCCCTTCCACCCACCATTGGTACAAATTCAGTACACTCCCTACAACTGAATTAGGTACAACATCCACAAAAGTTTTCCCTCTGGGAGTGTCGTGGTTTAAGAACATGCGTGCCTCCTAAACTTGGCAGGATTTGAACCAGTTACTGGTATAACTTATGTAATTTATATGTTTGCTGGCATATTCTATTACTTGGCATGGCTAGGAAACTACAAGAAATATTGTATGTATGATCGTAGGTATGGACCCGGTAAAATGTTGCTTTCCTGTATAAAACTAGCAATATCTTAAAGTACATTTGGGTTGCCGACTTGAATGAACATATGTAGGTCTTTGTTTTTTTTAATTTTTATTAGAGTTACGATTTAGAAATACTTCACATTTTTATAATTAAGAAGTTACGAACGTTTTTATAGGTATTTTTGAGGTGGTAAGTTTTTTATTTTTTTATAGGCCTTTTTGTTATTTGTAACGTTTCAAACGACATCTATTCAAAAAATACTGATTTACTATAGAATAGTATCATGAATTAGGAGATAGTTTATTTTATGGTTCGACGTTTGACCACTATCTCGCCTGGCAGTAAGCGATGATGCGATCTACGATGGAGCACGTCTGCTCTTAAGCAATCTATTCACTCGGGCCTTGAAGACAGCCATGATAGTACAGTTGGGGAGTAGTTACATTATTTTATTAAATTGGTATAGATTTTATAGTTTATGTAGAGGTAGATAACTAGCTTTTACCCGCGGCTTTGCTCGCGTCACAAAAGGATAAAAAGTAGCCTATGTGACATATACCAATACACACAGCGCCATCTATACCAATATTTTTGTTTTCTCTCGGGAATATCAAATTTTTCCGGGTTAAAAAGTAC